CCGCACCAACCATGCAGTCGAATTTTTTTAAATCGAAAGTCAAGTTTTTCAAAATATAAAATAGCTACCTACCAACTAAGAATGCCAAGAATACTATTTCCATTGTCAGTTGTCACTGCCCCGCTAATTCTTAGCTGTTGGTTTACGTAACCGCTGTTATCAGTCCAACGATAATGTCCCGTCGCCGAGTCGCGATAGATTTTATGTAATTCTGCACAACGGGGCACGCTTTCGTTTGTTGCAGTTGGAACGACGCGACGTTCGCTGCAAATTATATTGTTCACTTCGTTTGGTGTAAGATGTAAACTTGCAAAGATTTTTTTAATCTGAGTAGATCTAGACTGCCTCGATGGCCGAGTGGTCACAAGTGCGACTGCCGGGCAAGGGGTTTCGGGTTCGATTCCTGGGTAGGGCAAAGTATTACTAAGTTTTTTAAAATAAATCTCAGTACTAGCACGGAGTCTGGAAATGTGCCCGGTATATGGCAATAGGCTCACCCCATTACATGGGACTCATAACATAAATAGTGAAAAGTGGGTGTTATTTCTGTGTGCACCTCTGCCTACCCCTTGGGGGATAAAAGGCGTGATGTCTTGTGTGTGTGTGTGTTAGATCTAGATAGTATTTGTATTTCTACTTCATAGGATCATTTCTATAGTAAGCTCTTCTCGAGACTTTCACACTATGTGAGTCCTCACCAGTCACGTTGATGAGATGTGGCGCGGTGCCCTGAGCGTGAGGCGGGCGATGGTAGACCTACCATCAGCCCTCGATGATCGTTCACTTCCCTTCACCGGGGAGCGTGGGGTACTGTCGCTGTCTGAGTGGCTATTTTTACAACCTTAGCTTTTCAAAAGATACTTTGGTCAGTCGACTAGGTACTTTCTTGATGACTTCATAACTTCAATTCTAAATATGATGTGGGAGTATGTTTGACTTACGCCATCTAATCTGTTAAGTAGCACGTCTGTAGGAAGTGTAGGTGCCATCATGGCGACGACTGTGTTTGTTTATTGCATACATTTTTAATTCCTCCTACACGTGTTTTAACGAAGATGTTACAAAAATGCGACACCATATACCTAGCGGCAAGATTAAGTTTAACACAGATTTTTTGTTATTTTCCGTAGAACAAAAGGCGTGTCGGTGTCATGTATCTATTTCACATAATGATCTGGTTGTTAGTAATTAACAGTCTAACAGTCCTCTTCATCTTGCCCATTCGAATAAAACTCTATAAGTACTTTTCTCCTTTAGTGAAAGAAAAATGACTGCCTCGTTGGCAGAGTGGTCACAAGTGCGACTGCCGGGCAAGGGGTCTCGGGTTAGATTCCCGGGTCGGGCAAAGTATTACGGGGTTTTAAAAAAATCTCAGTAGTAGCACGGAGTCTGGAAATGTGCCCGGTATATGGCAATAGCCTCAGCCCCCTATTACAAGGGACTCATAATATAAATAGTGAAAAGTGGGTGTCACTTCTGTGTGCACCTCTGTATACCCCTTCGGGGGTAAAAGGCGTGATGTTATGTTGAAAGAAAAATATGGTTAAAAAAATCTATTATGAAGTTAACCCCGCTACCTCTCATACCTTGGACCACAATAACAATGATTTTAGTATAACGACAGTGATTCGGTACCGTTTCCAAAGGTAAATAGTTAACAATTGTAGAGAGAGCCCACGGAGCGCAGGCACCACGCTTTCAAGACGTACACTAATGACATCGTTCACAATGGACGCCTGCATTGACGAATGACTGACATTCGTGTTAACCACTTGTAGTTTGTAAGCATTGTGATTACTGTGTATGTAGGAACTGTTAAATGACCTTCGAACTCTTGTTTCTAGAAACAGAGAGTCACATATTAGACATGTAGCACCAAGGAGTCCCATGTACTTTTTTAAGGGGGGGGGGGGGATCATCGAATGACTTCTCCTGCCTGGGTGAGGCTCCCGCCTCCCTTAGTAAGAGTGTCAAACTCTTACTAACTAAAAACCACCCCGTTCCTACTACTGCACTTCGTGCCGGAGCCCCGGTAACCCGTCAGGTTCTCCGCGGCTCCGTATCGGCTTCAGCCCTACTGGGCCCCGTCCGTGGTGGTCAAAGAATCATTCTGGCACAAACACACAAATCAACGTATTTACTATGAGCGGTCTCTGTGCTCTCGTTTGGCAAAGGTGTAAAAAAAACAAAGTCGATTTTCATTCACAGGTGTATTTCTATTCGAAAAGTACAATTACAAAAGTAGGTACAATATTTTACAAAAAATATTCGAGTTTTAACAAAAAGTCTAGAAATAGGCAACTAATATGTACTAAGAAATGATAAAACCAAAGTTATAACAAAATTACATCGAAAAAACTAGAATACAATACTTTTCCCGCGCAAAGCGGGTTTGTACTAAAATGGTATGGCACCATATTCAGTTCCAACCAATGGCAATGATACATTTTGGTTTCGGAGAAACTATCCTTGTTTCTGATTGGTTGACGGTGCAACGGAGACATTTAGAATGAGTTGTGATTGGTTGATGATCATTCACTATTCACACATGATGAGTAATATGAAATCAATTATTTAAAGAAATAAATATTATTTATACTGACTCGTATACAATGGACTGTGTTTGCTGAATGACTTGATTTCACATTGTTTTAAAAGAAATTGAGCATAAATGTTTTATGATAAGTACCAAATGAATTATAGGCCAACGTTTATGAGGAATTTCTTAGAGCATTCCTTTTTAAAACTGTTTATAAAAATATCAATTTCGCCGCGTACCAAGTAATTTCATTACACTTCTTATACCTTGTTAGCACCGCTTCTTGACTCATTTGTCAATTTACTTTTAAACATACCTACTGTTTTTGCTTACTTGTCCTTGCTAAGTACGACGTTTCTACTAAGTTCCGAGTATTACTTGAAGATATATACTTAAACTCCAAATCTCGATAAACAAACTGAAGTTGCAAATTGAACCTTAATGGTACTGATGGAACTTACAAAATTGTTATGAATATAGTCGCAAGAGAATATTTTGTTTGCAGTATTGAAGGATTTATGCATAAAAATTTTAGGACAAGTAAGAAAATCACTCTATATCCTAATGCCTTGAGCAATTCCTAAACCCATACCTTACCAAACAATGTCTTAAGTACATATCTCAGATATTTTTTAATCATAGGCTTTTAGCTACATTTTTATCCATTACATAATTTTGAAAAAAATCGTCCTTATAATGCCAATTTTAACAATTTTGAAAATGATAAATTTTATTTATGAACTACATATCAACACCTGGATTTATTAGAAACATGCCTTGTCTATATCAAATAGCAAATCCATAAACACAAGTTTACGATGACTAGTAAAACATGTTCTGTTTAATGAAAAAACTATAGACCATAATTGTGTCTATAGTTTGCAGATAATGTGCAGAAAAATGCAGACAAAATAACTAAAATGAAATCGAAGCGAAACAATTTTTCATACATTTATTAAAATACCTACTAAGCGACCGTTAATGCCTAATTTAAGCTTATATTATTTACAATCACAGAAATATAACTAAGTTTTACGTAAACATGTTTATAGGCCAGTCATTTTAGTAAAAAGTTTGAAGTGAAAAAATACAAAAGTAGATAATATTTTCTTAGTCTGGCAACACAGAATTGGTAGAAAATTTAAATACTACAATTGGTAGAAATCGTTTAAGTACATTTAATGGCGTTAGAAATACACGTTTAATTTAAACTCTCCAAATATGCTTAATGTTAAAAAATCTACTTTGGAATACATCACTACTATCCTATTAATATTCAGATATAAAGTTTGACATTCTGATAAAAATATCTTTAGTGTTTATCTGGGGTCTAGAAAAATAGTCTAGGTAATACCCGGGTGTCAAGAAAGACGTCGTAGATTATGGGGCTATTACATTCTGACACCAGAACAAGCTCTTTGTAAATATAATCAAATAGTTATTCAAAACTAAGCTCCAATATATTTGCAAGCAGTAGAAAAATCACACACACACGTAACTTTTACTCAATATATCGTAATAATTTAAAATGTGTACCTTAACTACATGTCTATTGCAATAATAGGAACGCAACACATTCATAAGGCGAAGGTAAGCACAGACAATAAATAAATGAATAAGAAGCGTCTATTCTTTATGACTTTAGAAGAAGCATAGTTAAACACAACCTTGGCACAAAACCTCATTTCAACTTTTGTACATAAATTAAAGCTCGTTTCTTATAATTCGCAAATTAAGAAAACTTTTCATGTACACGTTATTTATCTTATAAAATAGATATCCAGTACCTATTGTAATTTCTTATATTATGTCGTAAATTATTGTGATCTGACATCCTTCGAAACCTTTATTCATGGAGTGAAAAAGACATAGAATATCAAAATAGTGATTCACAGTGAAAATTTGTATTTATTATGGAGTTACTTATAAAATTTTATACAATGTGTATTGAAAATATCAAAATCCTAATATCAAGAAATTTAACTTGACCGGGGAATCTACAAGGAATTTTCACATTTTTATCATGTATAGAAGAAATTAAAATCATTGGCAGTTAGGAGTACAGACAGTAATCTTAATACAAGTTTAAATATTATGGGTAGTTACGAACTAAAGATACTATATCACATAGTGGATACGTGGGATATCGTTCAGTATAATATACCATTCAGCTTACACACATAAATATACTTTTAATACAACAGTAATTACCACAAAACCGGACATTTCATACACTACATTATAACTAAGAGTCGCGACAACTAATCTTTGTAATCTCGAACTTGTTTATTTAAATTCACACGTTTCGTGCAAGAATTGAACATGAATCAAAGTAATCTTTCAAAATAGTAAAATGTGTGTCACAAATACCTACAACCCTTTAAGAAATCTAAGTGTAATTACAAATCTTCAAATAAAGATTTGCCATCGCGACTTAAAATTTAATCTTACAAACTAAAACCTACTTATTATCCTGCTGCGCTTTGGCCAAGAATTCTAAATTACTGTGGTGGGAGTCTATTCTATTCATATTGGCTTTGAACTCGTCGCGGGGTGACTTTGAGAGGATCGGGGAGGATGGCACGAGGGTGTCCAAAGAACCTCTTTCTACGTTACCTTCTTTATCTAAGTTCTGTTTTTCCATTTGTAAAAAGTTTTGTTGGGATCCATTGACAGTCTTGGCCAGTGAGTTGTCGGGGTATGACAAGTCAAAATTAGAGATTGATAGCAGTTTGTCACCGCTCTCTAGACCCGAGCCCAGCGACTTCGATGTAGTCATTCGGTCGTCTGAAAAATTAATACAGGAATTTTACTTTACATAACATAATATCACACCTTTTTATCTCCGAAGGGGTAGGCAGAGGTGCAAATTATGGCACTTAATGCCATTGTACAATGTAACATTTTTTACTATTTATGTTATGTTATGAGTCCCATGTAATAGGTGGTGAACCTGTTACTATAATTATACAGGGCATAAATCCAGACTCCGTGCTACTTCTGAGATTTACAAAAAAAAAACCAGTAATACTTTGCTTGACCGGGAATCGAACCCGAGACCCCTTGCCCGGCAGGCCCGAGACCACTTGGTAAACGAGGCATTTTACTTTACAGATCACGTCAAAGTTTCTTTACTAAGCTGGTGAGATTGTGTCTGTAGTTTCTGCAGGATTTTCGCAAACTTGTAGTATGAAGTGCTATGTGCCTTGACATAATGACAATAAAGTTGTAAAGGCACATAAATGGAATCAGAAATCTAAATTTGGTAATTGGATAATTTCCTGGGTCAAAAATAAAATTATTTTGATTTTTCAGTCCAATTAAATATTGAAAAATAATTACACTTTCAATCATTGATTTGCCGATATACTTAATTTTTGATTAAGTATAGCATTTTTTTTAGATATAAGTGTGCTATTTGACGCGAAAATAATATGATGACGTCATAAGCTGGTATATCGTACAAAATTCATAGAACAATATCGTTTTTGACGTTTCGATAGAAGCATTGAATTTGACTAGTTATCAACTACCGTATTACCTAATTAGGTTAGATCATCTGATTACAAAAAACAAAATAGATTATTAAGTAGCTCACACACTCTTGATTTGTGTCTAGTGTTTGAGAATATACCTGTTTCCATTACATCCATGAGACTATCGAAATGAGTGTGATAATATTTTATTAATGTACCTTTAGTATTGTGGTTATCATTGGCGTCATGTTCATGGTTGTCCTTGTGGTCCTTGGGCACGGAGGAGCTGCGGCCTCCGTCTAACAGTCCCAGTACCCTGCAGACACATTATTCATACAATAGTCTGACTTAGAATTAAGTGCTACTGCAAAATCAACTTTATTGCGACGATTTAACCTCTTGTATGTCGGTATTTAGACACAATAGAATATTGTGTCTCGCGTAGATCTACGCTTCGACAAACCAGAGGTTAACAGCACATGAGCAAAGACAGGAGATTTTGACACGAAAATAATATAAAATGCATTATTTTCTTGTTATTTGCAGCCCGTTCATTTCACTTTACGTAGACATCACATCACGAAGCAAGTCGCTTATGCGCTGGACTGATCAAATTAAATCGAATAGGAAAAACTGTTTCACACTGCGCCAGACAGTCCATAAATAGAGAGAGAGAGAGTAGAGAGAGAGAGAGAGATAGATAGATAGATAGATAGAGAGAGAGAGAGAGAGAGAGAGAGATAGATAGAGAGAGAGAGAGAGAGAGAGAGAGAAACGGTGGGAGATCGTGAGGAAAGCTATAACTGCCTCCAACATAAATACGACTGTCTCAACCTGACCACAATCGTTCTGCCATCAAGAGCGAAACGACAGAGAAGAAATCAATTTCGATTTAAAATAATAACTGTCTGTGAAATAAAATTAATATAAACAATATTTAGGTAAACCCATTCGACACTGAAGCATAAACGAAATGGCGACACTGCCACGCCAAGAAATACCTACAAAACATAGGGATCACAACCATCCTATCGGAAAGATATCGAAGTAATATTACAGCCCCTAATGTACCTAATAAATGTGTGGTTCCAAAAGAGAATACAATAAATAATACCTATGAAGAGGTTTCATTTGGAACTGAAAGAACAAGGATAAGGCGAATTGAGGAAATCGCCATTCTGTAATATTACGGCGAGTGAATGATTAGCCGGGTTGAATACGGCTGAGACAAAATCCATTAGAACAATTTTGGCGCTATACGATATTCAACATAGCTAGCCGTAAAGTAATCTTATGATAGATGTAAACGCGGGCACTTCTTAGCTTAGATAAAGGAGGCGTCACGAAGGCCGAATGAAGAGGTATTGTTCTTGCCTACTGATAATGATAATGATGATGTGATGATGATGATGTGATGAAGATGTAGTGATGATGAATTTTAAAAAGCCGCTTCCAAATATACTATTTCATATACACATGCCATTCAGACCAGAAACAACAATTTGCGGATCACACAAAGAGTTGCTCCGTGCAGGAATTGAACCCGCTAAACGTTGCACGGCAGCCGGTTGCCCAGCCACCGCGGCAACCGGACAGTCCAATGTACTGTCCAGTAAAATGATAATGATTGTGATTATGATATAATTATGAATGAATATTCGATTTTTTAATATTGTGGTATCAAGAAAGAGGCGTTGGTAATATTGATAGTGACTCGGCAATCATTGTGCCGATAGTCGCATCTACCAACGACCTCATTGCCAAAAGCGTGGACCAACACCTGAGCAGAAAGCAGTACTTCTGGATACGCCAATGTAAAATGATTTATCTTACTTACCAATTAGTACAAAATCTGATTTCGGTGGTCGAGGACGAGGAAGACGGATTGGGACCGGTATTTTATGTGGGTGATAGTCGCTCGGGGTACTCAAATCGGTAAAATGAAAATTCAAATACAAATTCCGCAGAAATAAGGTACGGATGGACCTATTTGGACTTAGGTTGCTGAAAATTAAATGATGGAATGGAAATTAAATTTAACACTGAAATAATGACATTCTAAATGACTCCATGCAATAAAATGTAATTTTGATTAAAGCATTACGTGTTTCTAGCCAGAATTTTGCATGCTTTTAGTATTAAGCAAACTATGTATGAACCAATACAATAATGCCACGTTTTTATGCAAATTGAATCTTGGAGCAGGTTGCGTGACATCGCCACGACTGCGCACGCTGCTCACGACGAAGAGTCACTCTATAACACGAGACTAGTACGAGCTTACGACTCATCATTTTTAGTTAATTAAAGAATTTTTTATCTAGACTTTTATTTTACATGATTTTCGTGTCAAAACCAGTATAAAATAAAAAGGTTCTTTATATAAAATTTAGTAAAAAGGTGCGTACTGGTAATTTCTAGGGTATCTATTGTGTTTGACGTGCTTCTTTGACATATCTAGATGTATGTCGTTTTCAAATCATGCAATACGATGTTAGTGCTCATTGTACCTCTTTTGACATCCATAATTAAGCATATAGAGAAGAAATGTATACATAAATTAGTTTACATAATAATGTAATGTATAATTACATTGTACACTAGAGCTCAAAGTGCTATCATGCTTACATTTGCATATATAAAGTCACAATTTTCGATGGCAGCGCCATCTCGAGTGCCAGAAAATATAGTTTTGTATTTGTGTTAATTTTTAAAAAATTTAATTGTCGTGCGTAACTATGAAATTATGTGTATGAATTATATTTACACATATTACATTAAAACAACATAGCGTCACGCTTTTTAATATCATAAGTGATAGGTAGACACATATGTACAATATTAACCCACTTTTTACTTACTATATTGACTCTGACAGAATTATAAATAAACTGGCACCACAAGAAGACTAATTATGGCAATTGGGTCACATTTTATTTACGGGACTAACAACATATCTATTGAATTGTTTTGACTAATAACATGAAAATATTTTTTCTTGTTCTAATTAATATTTAAACACAAAATGGCTATCAGAAATTTTTCACAACATAATGTAGAAGCTACTGCCAGCTGCTTCGCCCGCTTTGCCGTGGGATAAAAACTGCATGTATGCACTACCCCTGTTTCAGATTTCATATACTTCCCTTCAGCCGTTTTAACATGAAAGAGGAACAAACTAACAAACACACACACTTTCGCATTTATAATATTAGTAGGATTTACTTTGAGTTGCCAAGGTCTCCAAAGGGCATTCGGATGGGGTCCGCCGAGGGTTTGTCGCCTAAGTCTGCGTAGGCAAGACCTTCCATCAGCAACGTAGCGCCGATGTCGATTTCTCCTTCTGAAACTCATCATTATAAGTGACATTTCATCTGTCGATTGAGTGTTTTTTCAAAGTCAAAGCATTTATTTCAATTAGTCCTTTATATATAGGAACTTGTGAAATGTGAATTGTCCGTCTGTCTGTCCGTTGACGAAGCTAAGCGCTTGTTCCAAAGTGTAGTGTTTCGAAATACAGGGTTATTAATAAACTGACAAATGACTTGATTGTTGACCTGCCCCAGCAGAAGGCGCCCGTTCACGAGCATGACGTGAGGGCCAGCAATCGGTCCGATCAACCATTTCGTAGGGAACGGAGCGACTTAATGCAGGTTACACATCTTACGATTTAACTGTGCATTTTTAACTTTACAGTCGAAATGTACGGTTAAAATCGTAGGTCGATGCAGCCTACACAGTCACACCTTCAGTCAAACTGTTTGTGCTACACACTACAGTAACTATACAGTCGAACTGTACAGTTAAATCGTAAAGTGTGTAGGGAGCATTAGTGTTTCTGTTTTTTATTTATTTATAATTTTTACGTGTTACCGAGAGCCATGCTTTGGCGCGAATGGGCCGGCTCGACCGGAGTGATACCACGGCCTCACAGAAAACCGATGTGAAGCAACGCTTGTGTTGTGTTTCGTCGTGTGAGTGAGGTTACGGGAGGCCAAATTACCCCCGTCCCCTCCCCGATCTCCCCAATCCCTAAATCCCTAACGATCCTCAAACTCCTAATCCCTAAAAGGCCGGTAACGCATTTGTATTTGTAACGCCTCTGGTGTTCCAGGTGTCCATGGGCGACGCCGATTGCTTACCATCAAGTGATCCGTCTGCTCGTTAACCAGCTTATGCCATAAAAAATAAATAAGAAAATTTTAACAAAATTAACATCTGCCAAAAGCGTCAGGTACTTTCGTCACGGGTGAAACTTACCCTCAGTATTGTCGTATAGTTTGATGCCGGGTATCTCCCTCTCTTTCTCTCCATCGGCGGTGGCAGTCTTCTTGTACGTGCACGTCTTGGACAGGAGAGGCTGCCATCTCGCGACCTATGTGTTCACAAAACATAAAATAATAATTCCTACAATTAACATAAAAGTATTGGTAAAATTACATAATTAAACATAATACAATTGGGTACTTTCTTTAACTAAAAAGGAATTATTTCGACTGTTCAATACAATAAATAAGTATTAAAAAATAATCACACTTTAATTAACTGATTTTATGAACAACTCAATTTTAGTATTTTTTCCAGCATATGTTCAAGAAATAAGTACGCTGTTTGACGCTAAAAAACGTGACGTCACAATACACAATCTCGTACAAAATTCGTAGAAAACTGTAGTTTTTGACAGTTTGAAAAAAGTATTGAATTTGACTAGTTGGCAAGTACCCAATTGAAGATAATATAATTATGTAACTCAACACGACATTAACCTTTTAACCGTAACGGTCAGCTATGGACGACAAACGAAATGTACTTCAAAAATGACGTTTTCTCATCGGTTATGACTAGGGGAATGCAATCTCGGTGTCGCGAGATTAACGAGATTGCTTTACTAAAATTGATACTAGCTTTTACCCGCGGCTTCGCTCGCGTCACAAAAGGATAAAAAGTAGCCTATGTGACATATACCAATACATACAGCGCCATCTATACCAATACTTTCGTTTTCCTTCGGAAATATCAATATTTTCGGGATAAAAAGTACCCTATTATTTAATCCAGACTACTAACTTTACGTCTGCAAAAATTCAAAGTAATCGGTTTAGTAGTTACGGCGTGAAATCGGAACAAACAAACAAACTCACTTTCCGATTTATAATATTAGTAAGGATTAGCAGAGAAGGTTACTTATTTCCTTGAATTTGTTGTTTTATAGTTACGTACGCCAACGTTGAAGTAGTATACCTCTTGAAATTAATTAAACAACACAGTTTCAGCGTCCAATTTCGACAGCATAATAAATCTTGTTCCAATTTTCGAGAAAAAATTAGTAACAATAACAATACATAATTTTTTCCTAATTAATTAAAATATTATGATTATTAGCAAAACATTGGCGGATCATCCCAGTTATTGTTTGTCGTCTATAGTCAAGCGTAGTGGTCAAAGGGTTACAAAAAATACTTCGGTATGCCTAATCTCACGACAAGCTCTTACATCATTCATGGTCATGCAAACTGAACGTGCATACAAAATTTCAGCTCAATCGGTTGAAAGACAACTGCTTCACTTATTTGCAAAATTCTACTTCACACACATATTATATTCATACATACATACATACATATATTGTAACTTTAACTAAAGTTTTTAATTAAAGCTGTAAGCTGTAATACTACTATAAAGCGCGGTCCACTATTTATTATTTAACTAGCTCCTCTCGCGCAGTTCCAACCCGCTCTGCTTGGCTCCTATTGATCATAGCGTGATGTTCTATAGCCTAGAGCATTCCTCGATTAACACACTATCCAACACGAAAAGAATTATTCAAATCGGACCAGTAGTTCCTGAGATTATCGCGTTCAAACAAACAAACAAACAAACAAACAAGCAAATTTAAGCTTTATATAATAAAAATAGTAAGTATAGTATAAGATATAAATTTAACTACAGAAACTTCATTGTCAGCAATTGCATTGTATTGTATAGTATAGATAAGCGACGCACGAATTTACGCATTCCAAGTATTACTTGAATATATTCATCGCGTAAAAAAATAAACTTACTTTCGCTTTTGTCTTCGGTTGGGACTAGATGTTAAATATAAATTAACATTAAATATAATTATTTAGGTAAGGTTAGAGACACAATCGTATGTCGTAGCGGGTTTAAAACCGAATGTCAAAGCATATTGGTTTCATATATATAACTATGGTTACATACTTGTATGTCGTGTCGTGAGTCGCCAAATGCTAGCAGCCTTTTGGTGGGCGCCACGGCACTATATTTTGTTTCACTAACTACTAACACTAACACATTTAACTACACGTGTCGAGGGCTCGATTCTCGCACAGACCCCTATTCTTTGTGTGATAAATAAATTATGTCTCGGTATAATGCGCATGTAATATAGTAAATTTATAAACGAACTCACGACACCAAAGAAAATCGTAGTATATGGATATGTTTCATTTTTTGGAAATGGTAGTCTACCTGGGTATTTGAATTTACATTATAAAATAATATTTTATACACGTATAATGTTGTATGTGATTTTATCATATCGTTTAGAAAATTAAATCGACATTATTATAACTGATGACTGTTGAAGCGAAAGAGGTATGTGAAAATGGTAGAAATTGGCGTTCCATAGTCTCTGCCTACCCCCATGGGAGGCAGGTGTGAGGTTATATATTATTATCATAACTTCAAATACAGAGGCACAGTCAGTACCCAGTACCGTCTTTACCATAAGGGCACTCGGGGCCCGTGCCCAGGGCTCCCCTACTCAGGGGGCCCCGAATGACCGACAATTTTACGACGAACACACACCCGCTACAAGTTGCAATTAGTACAGGATTCGATTCTCGCACAGAGCAAATCTTTGTATGATCCACAAATTGTTGCTTCGGTTCTGGGTGTTATGTGTATGTGAACTTGTATATTTGTAAATGCACCCACGGTACAAGAGAAAATGCTAGCGTGCGGGAACGTTAATAAAAAACAAAAATACATTCCAAACGGGCCCCGAATTATAAAAGTCAAAGACGGCCCTGAGAGTAACCCTTTCGAATAAAATCTAGTATAATATATAGAGGTATACAAACATGGACAAGGTTTTCAAACCGCTCGATGGCCTCCGTCGACCAAGCATCAGATTTTGGTCTCACGCCCGCTAGGAAACACTCCATCGCCTGTAACATTCACATATTCATATTTTAACTATAAAATTAATTACAAAAAAAAACTATATTGCTTTCAATGTACAACACACTACGGAGAATTGTTATACATTTTTTTTATTATAATAGTCTATTAATAAAGGTCGCTTTATTCTGAAACAGGAGACATGACGCCTCTGCTCAAAACATTAGACAAAAAGTATTTATTGTCTACAAACTAAACTAAACAGAGACAAAAGAAGACAAAAGAAGAGACAAACAGAGACCCTTAAAAAAAAACTAAACAGAGGGCCATTTTTTAAGGGAGGAAAATCATCGAATGACTGCTCCCGCCTGCGTGAGGCGGGAGGGAGTGTCAGACTCTTACTGACTAAAAACCACCCCGTTCTCCACCCTTTAAGTCTTCCGCGGCTCCGTATCGCCATCAGCCCTATTGGGCCCCATCCGTGGGGTGGTCTGATAGCTCTTTGAGGCGCGCGCGGAACAGAGGGCCATAAGTACAAGTTTGTTTTACATTTACAGTAATCGAAAGGAGTGCGCATTCGGAGCGCTGATTGGCCGGCTCCATCGAACCAAGAGTTAACAGTTAAAAACCCATGGCCATGATAGAAGTGAATGAATACTCATGTCCATCATCACCTTAATGCTAAACACAAATATAGTACAACATAAATAATATAAAGGATATGCATACCTGGAACCGAAGCCGCAACAGATCGGCGCGCAGTTCACAGAGCTCGTATATTGACACGTACTCGCTGTCTCCGTAGTCCAAGAAGAATACGTCAGCGACCTGACAACATAAACCAGTTTCTATATTAATACACGCATTCCGTAATGGATCGTATTTCATAAACATTATTAGACTGCATCGTCGGCCGAATGGTCATCTGTAATTGTACCCAGTATATGGCCATAGGCTCACCCGCTATTACATAGGACTTACATAAATATTGATGAAAAGTGGGTGTTACATTGTACAGTGGCATCAAATGTCGTAATGTTCACCTCTGCCTATCCCTTCGGGGATGAAAGACGTGATGTTATGTTATTATTAGACCTCTTATTCTTTCATTATTTTAGCGATGGTCTCACTATGGTTCCTTCTTTTCTCCGGCACTGATAAATGAGATAAATCTGCTAATACACATCATTTTTTTTATGGGATAAGCCGGTAAACGAGCTTACGGATCACCTGAAGGTAAGCAATCGACGTCGCCAATGGACACCCGGAACACCAGAGGTGTTACAAGTGCGTTACCGACCTTTGGGATAGGGAATTTGAGGATTGTTGGGAAGGCACGGATTGGGAAAGGGGGGGAGGGGTAATTGGGCTTCTGGCTTCGTCATCATGTGTTCGAAACATGGCAAGTACCAATGTGACTTCTGTGTTATATGTAAGTACTTTCTAATATAATTTAGATGCCACTGACACAAGGTAAAGTACACAAACATCGTGAACAAACAAACTGGACTCATTTCTAATTATAAGTTTGAAATCGCCAATCCACTTTGAGCAAGAATAGTTATTCATAACGTTCTCCGTGTGAGAAGAAGCGTTTGCTCAGCAGAAGGCACTTATAAGCTATTGATGATTAAAATATTGCGTGCTATATTATATTAACTATAGTGTCAGTAGTAACTCGCCCAACGACTGCCTCCTTGGCCGAGTGGTAGCAAGTGCGACTGCCGGGCAAGGGGTCTCGGGTTCGATTCCCGGGTCGGGCAGAGTATTAATGGGTTTTAAAAAAAAAATCTCAATAGTAGCACGGAGTCTGGAAATGAGCCCGGTATATGGCAATAGGCTCACCCCCTATTACATGGGACCCATAACATAAATAGTGAAAAGTGAGTGTTACTTCTGTGTGCACCTCTGCTTACCCCTACAGGGATAAAGGGCATGATGTTATGTGTGTTATGTGAGGTATGAGTAGCAGCACCTGTTGCGTGGCGTCGTACTCGTTGGGTCGCACGTCGTGCACGCGCGCGCGGTACCAGCGCCCGTCGTGGCGGAACACGGCCGCCACCACCTGCCCCACCGACACGTGCGACAACTGACGGGAACAACATATTCATTTATTACATATCATTTAATTCATTTCGATAATTACCACTATCTCACATAACATTTTTGCAGCTTACCACCTACCACATACATTTCTGCACTACCCACAGGATGACTGGCAGAGAATGCTGTTAGCATTAAGTCTTCCTTATGCAATTGTATAAAACTTAAATAAATAAAAATAAATAATTTTCAAAATACCGACTTCAAACTCCCACACTTCTAAACCTTCTCTCCTCCTTCCTTTCTATCTCTAATCTGCTGGTTAATTAATATACTAAAATCTTCTCCAAGTGTAACACTTTTATTGAAAACGGCATCAAAATCGGATCAGTCAATCGCGAGATAATTGCGACCAAAGAAACATACAGTTCAAACTTAAAACCTCCTTTTTTTTGAAGTCAGTTAAACAACAAGAAAGGAAAATATTAATAAAGTTACAAGATCATGGTTACATTATGACAGCTATAAAGATTTAATTAATAACAACGGTCTAATGGTCGTAATTTAGTAAGGTAGGTGATTAAACAATGTATGGTTTGGATATTCGACATTAAAATTCTCATATTTAATAATGCAGCTACAATCCTAATATATATACAAAAGCAATATAAGTTTTTAAGATAAGTACTAGTACTAATATTACATGATAAAATAACTTAAGGATTAAATGTAATCAATTACCAAATAAATTTTGCTTCAAAGCATTTTTAGCAGTACTTACAGCATGATTCTCGCGATTCTCCTTTTTGCCGTAATACTCCGTCATTTCCTCGACGAGCAAGTCTAGTTGCGTCACCTGAGGTCCGACAAATTGCACCCAGAACCGAGACGGAGACGACACGGCTGACACATACACCTCTATCGGAGCACCCCTGTTCTCTATAACGGGGAGTAGAATAACTGTATTAGTATTAAAAATTAACATAATGCTGTAGTAATGGTATCCAGAATCCAGTGTCAAAAAGACATCGTGTTCATCAATGCTAATGGAGTACAGTAAAAAACTTTTGTATTATAAATTGTCTGATCCAATGGACAATAAGTCTTTAAAATTACAACCTTTTTTCGACAATACAACATGATATGAACCACTCTAACTCATGCTTAATAAAATAAAATAAAAAACCCGAACCACCAAACATATCTGGCATTTGCAGCCATGAACAAAACCAATAAACCCAAAAAAAAAATCAAAATTGTAACACCTTATTCCACCTTCATCTCAAAAATACAAAATATTGTACCCTTCTGCCTACCCCACACAAACGGCACGTGACATCACAAAACAACACACATATAAATACAATAACTAAACATATAATTATATACTTCACGTCACACCAGTGCATGTCACACGACAATATATTGTGGTAATCAGTGGTAGGCAAATTATGGCCGGTTTGGCAAAATATGGCATGAAGGTAAATTATGGCACAAGACCATGGTCCTTTCAAAAGACTTGCTGGCACTGCAAAAACTATATATTTCAAAGTGAATTTTGTCCCTCCCCTGAAGCTATTGTCACTTTGGCTTCTCATAAAGTTTGCCCACCACTGGTATAAATAGTACTTAGGTTGGATTTGTTAGTACTAACTTTACAAATTGGAAGGGAAATCCTGGCAATAGTGAGTCATACTCACAGGCTTATAGACCAAACCAGGTGCCAAAATATAGCAAACATAGCAATAAATATATTTTAATACTGTCCTCTAAGTAGAAGTTTTGTTTTCTTACAATTTTCTCGATTAGACGTGTCTGTCTACATCTCTGTAATACATTGAAAACTCCACGTAATTGAGTTGAGAATGCCGCAGAAAAGTGCCGTAAAAATAGATCTTGTGAAAAAAAAACAAAATTAAAAAAAAAACTATATTAAAAGTCTAAATTGTGGTTCGAGAGGGAAAATCTATTTCAGAGGGCTTATAATAAGTTTGTTCCACGTTTAAAGTAATCGAAACGAGTACGTGTTCGGCGCTCTGATTGGTCGGCTGCAATGAACTAACCAATCGGAGCGCCGAAGGCAGTCTTGTTTCGATTACTTTTAATGTGAAACAAACTCGTATAAAGCCTCCAGTTTCGTTCTAAGATATATTGAAGTAAAGTTGATCAACAGTTACTAAACAGTTGCTCCACTAATCGGGCAACTTACTTGTGACAAAGATTAAAATTACTCTAAGGACAGTAATATAATGAAGCATGCTGTTAGCAAATCTTACCAGGCCGCTTATATTTGACATGCCTTTGCACTTGAGAGTCACCTGACGCATCATCGTTGTTTTCGTTCGCGTTCGCAGAGGGCGTTGGTGATGGTGATTTGGATGACGACTGTACATGGCGCGGACTACGTTTCGATTGCTCGATTTCCCGGCGACATTTCTCTTGGGCGACCTGTAAATAGAATTAATAGGGATGATGAAAGGGTATGAAAATTAAAAATCTAATTAGTCCGTCAGTTAGGTAACGAAAAAATATTCGACACAATTTTTATTTTGTCATATAAGAAAACAATACTTAGATAAAACGAATCAAAGTTTGTCTAGTATAAATCGTACTCCAAAGTGACGTCATGCGATATTTCAAATCAATATAATCTTCGAAACTATTTGTTTCCGTAAGAAAATAAAAAATACGTGTCTAATGTTTTTAAACAATCTACCAGACGGACATTAAAATAAAAATTAGTCATCACTTTATTATACGAATTAATGTAGGCACATTTTACATATAAACTATGTGAATTCACGCTAATGGGGGCCTGAAAGACGTATGACGATAGATTCGGACACTACAATTTTGACACAAGCTTCATATACAACATGTAACGTAATTAACTCACACCCTCAAACACCCCAATTAGAATATTACGTTATATTCATAAAACATACACTAAATTTTTAATTTAACATGTATTTGCATCCTTACTGGACTTGTCATAAGGTTTATTTTTCTTTATTTTGTATTGAATGATAGAATTTGTATGAATACAAATAAAACTGCGATTTTAAAAGTCTATAGCTTTGACTTACGGTCCATTTCGATTTGTTTTAACAATACAGGGTTAATATGACAATAATTTCCGTCGTTTTAATTATTTTTGGGATAAAAAATTACCAATACTAAAAATTATATAAATCGATTCAGTTAACGATTCTGAACAAACTATTTTCAGGATGTGCGTTATTTAAGTTACATGTTGTATAAATCCACAAACAGAAGTGATTTAAAAAATTTCAACTTACGCAGTTCTCAATGAGGTCTTTAGCAACTCTGATCTGCTCCTCTGTGCCCAAGAACGTAACTTTCCGTATAGTTGTCTTGTCACCGTTCGAGGAGATCTTAATGCGGGCTCCGCTGCGGTGGCTTATGCTGTTTATGTTCTCGCCCTGAGATCCTGGTGACAAAAAGGTTACATATTTTATTCACACAGCTACACATAATTTTATTCACTTCCATAAAAGTAATAAGTTTATAGATGAGTTCTATTTTATTTAAAAAAACGTTCCCCCACTATAAGATTTTTCTCCTGTGTCGTGGGTGCGTTTACAAACATACAAGTTCACATACACATGACATCCAGACCCGAAACAACAATTTGTGGATCACAAAAAGAGTTGTTCCGTGCGAGAATCGAAACCGCAACACGTAGCGCGGCAGCCGGTTACCCAGCCACCGCATCAAGTGTGCAGAGATAGAAGGGGAAAATGCATTATGCTATGAACAAACAGAATGTTTGCTGATATTCTAATGAATCATTTTAAAGCATCACCAGGGCACTAGATATTTATTATATTTTCTGATAAATGGAACCAAAAACTTTCTAGTACACTAAAGATCACAATTATGTGTACAATAACCGTTGTCACTAAATCTTATCCAGTTTTTTTTTTATTTTGCAATACCCCACACTAGGACTATCTCCTGTGCTATGGGTGTCTTTACATACATACAAGTTCACATATAGGTACATCACACCTTTATTATTTAAATTTAAGTGTGTGAGAGCCATGCTTCGGCAAGAATGGGCCGGCTCGACCGGAGTGATACCACGGCCTCACAGAAAACCGACGTGAAGCAACGCTTGCGTTGTGTTTTGTCGTGTGAGTGAGGTTACCGGAGGCCCAATTACCCTCCCCTTCCCCAATCGTCCCAATCTCCCCAATCCCTGAATTCCCAACGATCCTCAAACTCCTAATACCCAAAAGGCCGGTAACGCACTTGTAACGCCTATCAGGTGATCCATCTGCTCGTTAACCGGCTTAAAGAAACACCCCATTCTAATTCTTTATCATCACTGCATTATACAGTTCTCAAGCCCAATGTATGTGTTACAGACAGAACCGTTGACTACTCACCAATGATCCTGCCACAAGCCCACGAAGGTACTTCCATCGTATCTTCGACATTCAAAGGCTGTTGGTTTATGAATTCATGGATGAGAGTTTCAGCAATCTGCGTGGCGTCGGTCCGGCCTCTAATCACACAGATATCGTGGTCCTTATCGCTAAACTCCTTGACGTTCACTTTAGCTCCTGAAATCTTCTCAATGTCCTTGATGTTACTGCCGCCGCGACCTGGGGAGAAAGATATGGGTTTGTTACTTCTTGTTGAATTTGTATTTTATTTTAACAAATATAACAATGTATGGATAGGGTTTTCTCAAAAAAATGTTTTAGTAGGCGTTTAACCAAGATTATAAGACGCGGCCAGCTTGCCCAGTCTTATCACACAAGATTAGTGTTGGAAAAACAATTTGTAGTCCTGAATCAATTTGTTTTCTAGTCAATCCTAATAGAAAACTAACTAAATTAGATAATTTCAAATTAATAATTAGAGAAAGTATAAATATATTGATCTGTTTAGAAATCCTAGACAAATATACAGCCTTGACTTAAGTCTTAGATAACATACAGTTTCTTAATAATACACAGTTCTATTTACTGCTGGATATCAGTTTTCAGTAACTTAATATAATCTACTTTCAAAGTATAATTGCAACATGCAGGTAACGCTTTTGGCTTCATAACGCATTACTGTCTCACTTATTTGGTGCTGTGTATTGTTCTAACTGATATTATTTATTTATCGAAGGGACAGGCAGAAGTGAACATAGTGTAGTAGGAGTCCCATATAACACACTAGCTTCTGCTCGCAGCTTCGCCCGCATTCCCGCAGGACAAGCCTAGCCTATCCAGACTATAGTCTGGATAAATCTGACTCTATTCCAAATTTCAACCCGATCCCTGCAGCTGTTTGATATGATTGAGTAACAAATATAGACTTTCGCATTTACAATATGAGTTTACTGAAATACACCAATGAGAGTATCTAGCATAATTCCATAATAATCATGAAAACCGGTGATGATGGATAGAATTTATGACGTAGAAACTACATTTAGATGAAATTTGTCAAACAATTTCAAGAACACGTGCTTATATTTATACACATCCTGATAATGCGTCGACTGGCGCTAGTTCTGACTAAAAGTGCATGATGTCTGTCTATCGGCTTACTGCCAAGTTGTTTATCAACGTAGATGTTAAGACATCACCGATACTAGAGCATTGCGTCATTGGCGACTGACGAATACTATTGGAGAAATACTATTCTCAATTTATGGCATATTTTTTTTTATAGCATAAGCCGGTAAACGAGCAGACGGATCCCCTGATGGTAAGCAATCGGCGTCGCCCATGGACACCTGGAACACCAAAGGCGTTACAAGTGCGTTGCCGGCCTTTTGGGGATTAGGAGTTTGAGGATCGTGGGGGATTCAGGGATTGGGGAGATTGAGAAGATTGGGGAAAGGGAGGGTATTGGGCCTCCGGTAACCTCACTCACACGACGAAACACAACGCAAGCGTTACTTCACATCGGTTTTCTGTGAGGCCGTGGTATCACTCCGGTCGAGCTGGCCCATTCGTGCCAAAGCATGGCTCTCCCACACTTAATAATGGCATCCATGGCAGTAAAATATTTGTTTTTAAACAAAATATTGTACCTAACTGTCTATATGTAGAACATTCACTTTTTATCAGTTTCGTCCAGTGCTGTTTAATTAAGAAGTGATCCAAGGAGACCATTCTATCCTTTATTTCAGGTTCTGTATTGGACCGACAAGGTAATCGAGACAAATAATTTATATCAAAATTAGTTAGTAAGTTATTTACTCAATTAAATATTCTGATTTATAGGCATTCTAACAAGCTCGTTTATTTGTAAACCCAACACAACACCCACAATTCGCGTGTTAAACCGTCATAGTTCTCTATAAATAAATATATAATATTAATTATAGGTACATTATACCATTAACCGCAGTTTTGCCTCTATACCTAATAAAGGTCTACAAACTATTCAAATTAACTCTATCTATATGCCAAAATCCTTCGGAATCCGTTTATCCGGATTTATTTAATACATATTTATTAGCACGAAGCTTAGGCCAGTGATTTCATTCATTCGAGCGTCATACTTAGGGTTGCCACCTTTTTTTGGTATTTAAAGTACATTGACGATCATAGGTAAGAAAAAAAAGTACACAGTACAAAAATAAAGTAGATTTTATTCTTATTTAGTATTACCTATATTTAAAAATATATTTTTATTGCTTTTTGCAGTTTGTATTAAATTAGTACCTTTACTAAACAATTGCATCTTTACTAGAAATTGTCTAAGTGGCGCTGGTGAGTGGCAAATCGATATATATCTGTAATTGTACAATTGCCTTAAATAACGTACAATACTTTATTATAAAATACGGGTGGCAACCCTAGTCATACTAGAAGATTAATCGAGATAAACTATTCAATGAAATAGTTTACAATAATCGTTACTACAACACAAGATACATTTGTCAAGCTAATACTGTGCCAAGATTTAAATAAGACTACATTATGACGCAATAACATTAAAAGAAAGAGCATTTTATTTTTTTGTGTAATGAGTAATATTGATTTGTCACAAAGTTCGGGGTGAAAGTACAAGGGCACGTTTATTGGCAGACGCCATGCTGTGCGAAAGCGAGACGTAATACTTAGAAACAGACAACAGACACATGTTACATAGGCTTAGTTTATGTCACAAATTATGTAACACATAACACTGCTGTAGTGTCTCGTTGGCTGAGTGGTCGCAAGTGCGATTCGGCAAGGGGTTCTCAATCTCGGGTACTTTAAGTGTTTTTTCTCTATCAGTTGAGGTACTAAATATTTGAAGTTATCAAATAGTAGCAAAAAGGTAGTAAATTTTGGTATTTTCTAAACATCAAATATCTTTCTTGGTCCAGGGGTCCTGACGCTAATTTCCGAGTCGGGCTAAGTATTACTGGGTTTTTCAAAAAATCTCAGTAGTAGCACGAAGTCTGGAATTGTGCCCGGTATATGGCAATAGGCTCACCCCCTATTACATGGGACTCCTAACATAAATAGTGAAAAGTGGGTGTTACATTGTTACAATGTACACCTCTGCCTACCCCTTCGGGGATAAAAGGCGTGATGTTATTATGTATGTACTGCTGTAGTATTGGTGCTGGTTGTTTATTTGTAGTGAACTTTATAGATAGATATCAAGGGGGTGTGGCAGACAGATTGAACACAAACGATAATTTGAGATTAGATCATACACAATACTTTTGATAAAGAAACGAGATGACGTAATTGTAATAATATAGGCATTACAAATCCACTAAACTAATCGACGTCATAGGTAACACATATTAATAGAATGACAATAACATCTGTACATAATTTTATTATTGGGTTTTTCTAACCCAGCTTGTATGATTGTATTGTTTACACTTTTACAGCAATACCAACCCATATATCCCCAAGCAGTCACCGGTAACCGCTCTCCACTATACACATTATAGACCTTATTTCCAATATTTAGAGACTACTTTTGTATGAACAAATTTAGGAGATGATTTTCAACAATTTTCAACAGATATGAGTAGTAGTGTTCGCGCAAATTATTTAAATCTATGAGACTAAGTTCTTAGAGGTTTTTCGTTAACGAGACCCGTAAAGAAAGGATATAGATTTTAATATTATGTCTTTAAGAAGAGAATGAGAGCTTCTCTTACAAATGTAGAACATGAGAGGCTACTTCTCATTCAAATATCAGTTTCTTTAAACTCTCCTTCCTTGTCTTTCAAAGCTTTTTAACAATCAAAGTAACACAGAGAGACTTAGGAAGACCTTACCGTAACAAGGTCTAAAAGACAGAAAGCACCCCCATAACATAATATTATGATCACACCTTTAAAGAATTCGAAATATCCAGAAGCATCTGCTTCTTAACATCTGTTTACCATGTATTCCGGATCATTCGAATTTAGCGTTTTGTTTTGAAACATTCAACTGCATTCAATACAGTTACACAGTGCTACAAAACACGAAATGAAGTCTGTTTTCTATTATTTTAACCTTCGTTTAGCGCTGACATCAGACGCACCGCGCACGTGTGGAACTATGTATATCCAGCCATCAGTACAACGGATAGCATTAAATTTAGCATTAATACATCATCTGGGCCACTCGTTATCTATTTAGTATTTACTTCTTGACCTATATTTACTAGTAAATAGACATGAATACAACCGAATTCTATTCGTTTTCTATAAAAGCTAATGTTTTGAACAACCACAAAATGTCCAAAGCCAGTTTGGGAAAGACTGATGTGCTAGCATTAAATGTTAGCACAAATTTTGTATATGAGACGATCGATGGATACGTAGACAATATTTCAAGTAACTAGTAAGCATAGATTTGTCGCGGAGAACCTAACGGGTTACCGGGGCTCCGGCTCGACGTGCAGGAGAAGGAACGGGGTGGTTTTTAGTCAGTAGGAGTCTGACACTCCCTCCCGCCTCACCCAGACGGGAGTAGACATTCGATGATTTACCCCAAGTAAAAAAAAGAAAAGCATAGATTTGGAAAAAAATAGTCTATTAGGTAAACTAGCATACAGGATATAGCACCAACATGGCACAGATTCATCAAATTCACAATAGTTTCTCTAACCTTCATACATAGACAAACAAATATCAACCTTGTACTAAGGTTTTTAAGTGCGTTTATATAATTTTCACACATTCGTGTTACGTTGTAACAGTTCATTGTCAAAGAAGCCTCAGTAATTCAAGGAGAGGGTAGTGATATTTATGAAATGATGTATCATAGTTTTACAGGTAGTACCTACCTACAAAGATAGCACAAATCAGTATACTAACTGACGATAAGAGAGTTATGCGACACTTTAATTTCGCTTAGGGAACTTCCCTTACAATAAGAATCGAAAATTGAGAGCATATCTTAGGGCTCGTACACAAAACTGCAATGCGATGCGATGCGAATTCGCAACGCAGAAAATTATGACACGAATTGTTGCGATGCGATTTCGTGCGACAAGGCATCTCCCATCTCCATTCTTTCGACGACCGTCAACCGTACTAAACGTATTTTAAATTCAAAACTAGGTCATGACATGGATCGTAAAATCAAATGTGCACTTTTGTTATTGGTTCGGAGATACAGGAAACAGAAACAGAAGATTTTCGGAAGATAATGTT